CTATAAATCCCTAGTCTGTAGTAAGGTCAGTCATGTTAGTTTGTTTGGTCTGTCCGTTCAAGAATTTGGTTTGTAACCTGTGCTCTCCTCAAATCAGTAAAATTTGTTATCCCCTGCCGTGGATTAGCTAGAACACATTGTGTTAGTGAACCACATTAAATTTGTGTTTGTTCATTTTGATATGGATTAGCGATTGCACGCTTCTGTTCTGACAAGTGGGATCAGAGCCTGGTTCGGCTTGGGGCGGTGGACGTCAGTTTGGTGGACCCTCATTCGGTGGCCTCGGGATTTGCGATTCGTGTCTGTTTGGCAGATCAAAGAGAGTTCTGCGTCTGAGCTGTTTGGTGGATCCAGGACAGATTCACGTGTGTTTGGCGGATCAGAGAGAGTTCCGCGTCTAAGAAAATCCTTGTACCGAGAAGCCCATCGATACAAGGTGTCTGGCGGATCAAGATAATCGCTGAGGTGAGGACACTAAGTTTGTGGTCCTTGTCTTGAGGGGGGGACTGTTATGGGACAACCCAAGTACCACATCGGAAATAGAAGGTAAGAAACCCTTGTATATAAGAGTCCACCTAGCCCAATCAGTACGTGGCCTTTTGGGGAGGACACCCAAGAGTAAAACCGTACGGGCTTGGTCCAAAGCGGACAATATCGTACTAATTCAGCTGCTGGTTTAACACTTCTCTTTGGATTTCCTGGGTCAATTGAAAAGTCTAAAACCCCAGAAACCCTTTGAACAAAAAGAGGGTATTTAGAAATGCATAGAGCATGTGAGTTTGACAGATTTTGGGATTACTTGCAAACGAAAAATTATTAATTAATTAATATATAAAAGTCTTACAAGAAAGTTACTATTTATTAGTGGCTCTCGCACTCCTCCAAGTGCAAGTGGGAAAGTTTCAAGTACTTTTAACCCACTCCCCATCCTAAAACCTTTTTTTTTATTGTTCGCTTGGTTTTCATCTATGGCTTTTTGCACAAATCATCGGTTTTGTGTTTTGTTATTGTTCGATAGGTTTTCGTCTATGACTTTTTGCATAAATCATCGCAGCCCTTCTTTTACCCCACTCTCCATCCTATAACATTTGTGTTAAGTTATTGTTCGCTAGGTTTTCGTCTATGACTTTTTGCACAAATCATCGCCTTTGTGTTTTGTTATTGTTCGCTAGGTTTTCGTCTATGACCTTTTGCACAAATCATCGGAGCCCTTCTTTTACCCCACTATCCATCGTACAACCTTTGTATTTAGTTATTGTTAGCTAGATTTTCCTCTATGGCTTTTTTGCACAAATCATCGCCTATGTGTTTTGTTATTGTTCGCTAGGTTTTCGTCTATGACTTTTTGTACAAATCATCACAACCCTTCTTTTACCCCACTCTTCATCGTACAACATTTGTGTTTAGTTATTATTCGCTAGGTTTTCGTCTATGGCTTTTTGCACAAATCATCTCCTTTCTGTTTTGTTATTTTTCTCTAAAAATAGGTTTGGGGAACAGTATTGGGGCACAACTATAAGTATTTTACATTAATAGTCTTTAAAAAGCCTGTAAAGTATTTTTTCTTGTGAACTTGGTTTTTGAATTGTCTTTTTAATGAAGTTATAATTTTCAGTTAAAGACTTATTCACTCTTTCTTCACCAAGTTTCAAACTTTACATTTTTTTAGTCCATCTACTATACTCCAAAGTATAGTAATGGTACTTCCGGGCACAAGTTCCTGAAATTGTATCGTAATACTAAAAGTTCAAGTTCATTTTCTACCATAAATTAATAAAAATATATAGATACAAACTAAACTTCTAGCATAACGTGGCTCGTTTGCTTGTTTGATTTAAAAATGAGGGGTTTTGGTTTTAAGAACCTTTGGATATATGATGAATTTGTTATATTATGAATCTGGAAGAGTACATTGTTTGTTTAATTAATTTATATCATGGAGTTATGATGAATTTGTCTCACAACTTTGCCTTCCATCATCAAATCCCAAATGAAATGTGGGATTTGCAAATTCGTGGGGTCCACGAATTTGGATATAAAAAATGGGTCTAAATCCGTGGGTGTCTCTTAGCAAACAATGGATTAGTGTCAAGTTTTTGATGCCTAGTATTTGGGTGCCAAATCCATCACTCAAATCCACAAGCAAACGATAATGTACAAGTTCAGCTTGTACAGTAAAGGAATTTATACGAAAAGATATAAGAACTTAGAGTTGTTCCTTAACATTAAAAGTTCAAAGTTCAGTTTGTACAATAAAGAAATTGCAAAAAAATATATAGGTACAAACTTAATTTATATAACATTACAGATTCAAATTTGATTTGTACTATAAAAAATTTATATTTAACCAAGGATTCTAATCATTGTAAAATTGCTCTTGTTTTATAACTTACCCAACAATTCCAATCTTTACCATGATCAACAAAGGATTGATTCATTACTAATTTTATAGCTATGGTTTGTGAATATTGTGATGACGTGATTTGTTATTGATGTGAGAAGGGGTATTTAACCCTGATGTTACAACTGAAGCTAACCCACGTAGCTATAATGTAGCTAACTATCTAACCACTACATACATGACATTAACCACTAACATAATAGTTAAACGTGATTAAACAACATCCTTATCACGCCCCCGTAAGATGGTGGCGGGTACGACACCAATCTTGGACCGAAGAAGCTGAAAGCGTGTGATGGGAAGAGGCTTCGTCAAGGAGTCAGCAAGTTGATGAGCGGTGGGAATGTGGCGGACCTGCAGAGCAGCTGACTGAACAAGCTCGCGAACAAATAGAAAATCAAGGGCCAAGTGTTTCATTCTTGAGTGATGAATAGGATTGGCGGAGAAGTTGACTGCGCCGAGATTGTCACAGTAGAGAACAGGAGGACTAGCAACGGGACAGTGAAGTTCGGTGAGTAGGTTCTGGAGCCAAAGAATTTCCGAGGTAGCATGAGCGAGGGCACGATATTCTGCTTCGGTGCTGGAGCGTGCAACAGAACGTTGCTTCTTGGATTTCCAGGAGACTAGATTGCCGCCGTAATAGATAAGGTACGCCATAGTGGAGGTGCGATCGGAAGGATCACCGGCCCAATCAGAGTCCGCAAAGGCGACTATGGTGGGAGTGGTGGCCGGAGAGGGGCGGAGACCGAGAGACGCAGTGCCACGGAGATACCGAAGAAGACGCTTGACATGTTGCCAGTGAAGTTGGGTGGGCGCATGCATGAACTGCGACAATTTGTTCACTGCAAAGGCAATGTCAGGGCGGGTACACAAAAGATATTGGAGTGAGCCAATGACCTGTTTGTAGAGGGTAATATCAGTCGGAGGAGAGCCATCAGCAAGGACTAGCTTGGCGGCAGCAGCCAATGGAGTGGGAGCTGGGTTGGAGTCGGCCATGTCATAGCGATGAAGGAGATCAAGAATGTACTTATGTTGGGATAATAAGTAGCCAGTAGTAGTGGGAAGCATCTCGATGCCCAGAAAGTACCCGACGGAGCCGAGGCTTTTGAGTGAAAACAGAGCAGATAAGCGGTCCTGAAAACGAGTCAGAGTGGGGCCATGATTGCCTGTGAGAAGCAGATCGTCAACGTAGACCAAGAAATACATAGTCACCCCAGCGGCATGATAGACGAACAGGGACTCGTCAGACTTCGATTTAATGAACCCTTCCTGTTGAAGAAACTGAGACAAAGAGAGATACCAAGACCGAGGGGCCTGACGGAGCCCATAGATAGGCCGAGATAGACGACACACATAATCCGGATGCCGTGGATCACGAAACCCCGGAGGCTGAGCCATATAAACTGTTTGAGCAAGAGAGCCCTGCAGAAAGGCGTTATTAACATCAAACTGGAAGATAGGCCACTGATGGGACAGGGCGATAGAGAACACTGTGCGAATGGTGACCGGTTTAAGCACCGGACTGTAAGTGTCATGAAATTCGATGCCAGGGCGTTGGGTGAAGCCCTTGGCAACAAGGCGGTCCTTGAAGCGATCTAGCGAGCCATCGGGATTCCATTTAATACGAAATATCCAACGACAATCAACAATGTTGTGGGAGAGAGGACGAGGAACGAGAGTCCAAGTGAGATTGGAGAGAAGAGCCGCAAACTCAGCTTTCATGGCAGCTGTCCATCGTGGGTCTTGAAGCGCCTGTTTAACAGAGGCGGGCAGGAGAGGATGCGAGACATGCGAAACAAAAAGCCGTTTGGGACGGAAAATGCCGCGTTGACTGCGGGTGACGGGGCGCCGGGTTTCCTTGGCAGGTGGAGGGGGCAGCGGAAGTCCTTGTGCAGAGGAAGTAGCGGGGGACGCATCAGGCGAGGAGACGGGCAGGCATCTGTGAGCTGGAGCGGAAGGCCCAGGCAATGGCGGGCGGGGCGGAGCAGCAGCTGGGGGTGTGGGTAAGGGAAGAACGGTAACAGGGGGAGTGGTGAGAGCAACCCACGTAGGTGAATCGTAAGAAGTAGGGGATGGAGAAGGGAGACCGGGCAAGAGAGATTCCTCAAACCTCACATGGCGAGAGACATACATACGGTGAGAGAGAGGTTCATAGCATAGGTAGGCACTTTGAGATGGAGAATAGCCGAGAAAAAGACAACGGCGAGACCGTGGAGTCAACTTGTTCTCGGAATAGGGGCGAAGCCAAGGGTAGCAAACGCAGCCAAACACGCGGAGTTTGAGGTAGTTGGGGTGTTCATTAAACAACGAAAAATATGGAGTTTGGCCATTGAGAGCGTTGGAGGGTAGGCGGTTGATGAGGTAGGTTGCGGTTTGAAAGGCATGAGACCAAAATCGAAGCGGGAGATGGGCATTGTGGAGGAGAGTAAGGCCGGTTTCAACAACATGGCAATGTTTTCGTTCGGCTAAACCATTGTGCTGGGGAGTATGGGGTGGAGTGAGGAGATGAGTGATGCCATGGGTCTGGAGAAAAGAGCATAGTTTCTGAAATTCGCCACCACCATCACTATAAACACGTCGTATGGTGGTGTGGAAAAAGTTTTCAATCATGGCTTTATATGTGGTAAAAACAGTATGAACATCAGATTTACGGGAGAGAGGATAAAGCCAAGTATAGCGGGTGTAATAATCAACAATGACAAGATAGTATGAGAAATTATCATGAGAAATAACTGGTGAAGGGCCCCAAACATCCATGTATAATAAATCAAAAGGCCGATTACTAGATAGACTGGAAACAGAAAAAGGCAGTTTGTGGCTTTTATGAAGCGAACACGATTCACATGACGAAATAGTTGATAGAGAGGTAACAGGAAGAGACTGTTTACGAATAACGCGAGAGAGAAGTTTGAGGTGAGGATGCCCCAGCCGATGATGCCAGAGACTGGGGGATGCCCGCGTCGCCGTTAATGCAAGTCGAATGGGGTGGGACTCCTGCGGCAGCTCATAAACGTCGCCCTTATTCTGGCCTCGTAGAAGATGCGCCCCCGTGGCTAGATCCTTCACAACAAAGAAATCAGAAAAGAATTCCACCGATACAGGATTAGTTTTACATAATTGGGCCACCGACAGTAAACGACGCTTGATAGCAGGAACACAAAGAACATTATGAAGATCCAATTGCGCCACAGAGGAAGACAAACGGGAGTTCCCGATATGAGTAATAGCCAAACCTGACCCATCGCTGATAAGCACCTCATCCGGGCCAGCATAATCCGTATATAGAGAGAGATTGCCGAGATCAGGTGTCATATGGTTGGTGGCCGCCGAATCGATCAGCCACCCAGAATGAGAAGGAGCGGCAGTGGCGGTGTGATGGGCCTGGGGCCGACCGCGGATGCGGTAGCAGTCCTTGGCAGAGTGACCGAGCTTATCACAGAATTGGCAGCGTAGCTGGGGGCGACCGAGAAGAGACGAGGCCGGTGGACTGTTGGAAAAACCAGACCGGGGAGAATAGGAGCCCCGAGGAGAACGAGGGCTGTGGTCGCGGCGTGCGTCGGACCCATAAAAGGAAGGCGACGGGGAGTCACGGCGGGGCGTCCCAGCAGAACGTGAGATGAAGTTCGGAGTATGGGGACGACCACGGGCAGTAGAGAAGGCCGTGGTGGGTGCTGGCTGATGAACACGGGCAGCGGCCATGTCGGCCTCAAAATCCACGAGCCGATCATGGAGATCCTCGATCTGGATGGTGGTATCGCGGGCGCGAATGGCAGCAGCAAGGTGACTGAATTCGTCGCGCAGGCCACAGAGAATGTGCAGAACCATATCTTCGTGGGACACCGGAGCATTAACAAGAGCGAGCTCGGCGGCGGTGCTACGCATAGCCTGGAGGTACACAGCGACGGGACGAGCACCTTGTGTCTCACGGAGAAGCTTCCCCTTGAGATTGATCACGCGCTGACGTGACTGACCAGCAAACATGCGTTCCAGAATCATCCAAGCATCATGAGATGAAGTGGCAGAAGTGACATAAGGAGCGACGGCCGGAGTAACCGAAGCAATGACAGCATGGAGGAGGAGTTGGTCTTGACGGAACCAATGGGTTATGGCGGCAGGATCGGCATCGGCAGAAGGACGAGGATGCGTGCCATCAAGAAACTTAAGAAGATCGAGGCCCCGGAGAAGAGTGAATAACTGAGCACGCCAGGTCGGGAAGTTATCACCGTCAAGCTTGATAGGAAATTGAGAGGCTGGATTCAAGGTGATGATAGTGTTGCCGCCATCCAAAGTGAGAACAGATTCGCCGGTGTTCGTAGACATGATGGAAGAGAGGCGCAAGGGGAAAAAAAATGGCAGGGAGGCGGCGACCAATAAAGAAAGAAGAAGTAAAGTGGAGAGAAATTGTGTTTGATTAGGTTTAGGGTTAAGGAGATCAGAACTTCAGCTCTGATACCATGTGAATATTGTGATGACGTGATTTGTTATTGATGTGAGAAGGGGTATTTAACCCTGATGTTACAACTGAAGCTAACCCACGTAGCTATAATGTAGCTAACTATCTAACCACTACATACATGACATTAACCACTAACATAATAGTTAAACGTGATTAAACAACATCCTTATCATGGTTGTATTAGAAACAAACAAGTAGAAGACAGCGACGTATGTAACTTTTAATTGATTAGAAATCAGAAGTCAAATAATACAGGTAATCCGAAAAAACTAAAAATATTCGAAAAGGAGAAAAAGTTCGCATCCTGCCAATCAGGAATGTGATTAGGTGCTAACCCTTATAGGAGTTAGCACCGTGATAACTAGCAAAAAAACGCTACTAAAAATAACGAAATTACTACGGATTATTATAAAATCAATACAACATCTAAGCTAAATCACTACTAATTCAAACTAGTAATAGTTTTTTCCTTGATTAGGACGGTGCTAACTATTGTACAATTAGCACCGTAACCGCTCCCTGCCAATCACCATAAATACTTCTTAATTAATTAATTCTCATATATTTATATTTTTCGTTTAACAATTATTACGGGGATGGGATACAGTGTGTATATATATATTTTCCCTTAAATACCATCTTTAATCCACGACTCTTATTTCATTCCTCTCTTTTCCTTAGGGTTTTCCACCCGCCGCTGCAATCTTCTCTTCAACGTCTCAATTCAGAATTGCATAGAAGACATTGCGACAATGCAATGGGCATCAGGCTCACTGCTTCTCTACTCAAGATCTTCTATGCACGACGGTCATGTGGGAGTTAGAGTTCATTTAGGCGTTCAACCGGCTTGTGGCGAAGAGGAAGTGGCAGCGAGATTGTACAAAAACACAATGCTCTCTTCTTGAATCCAAAGTCGCAATCAATTAATGGTTGGGGAAGCCGCGTTTTACCATTCTTGTTATCGGCTGAGATTTTTCCCACCAGATCGATCAATTGCACTCTGCGTTAACGCCCTGATTTTCATCGTGTAAGTCATTGGGTGCCTAGATCTGCTTCATAATTAGTTTAACCATTTCTCTTCTTGAATACTTAGGCGACTGTTCCATTTTGTTTTTGTTTTAGTTTTTGTTTGATGGACTAATGATCTCATGATTAAGATGAATGATTTTCTTTTTGTCTTATTACCATTGCAGGCGCAATCAACGGATCCAAACCTGGATGAGCAATAAAAAAGGAATGAGCATGATATATTATCCCCATATATGTCCAACACAATCATGAAATCAGATTATGTGGGACAACAGTTTGCCCCTAGAGATAATGTTTAGGGTACGACTTATTGTCTCTAAAGTTGTACCTATAGGGACGACAGGTTGTCTTTCATGAAAAGAAAACGAGAAGACGACTTGCGAATAATGGGGACGACTGTCGTCCCTAGTAATAGGGAAGATCTAAAATTTTGCCAGTCCCCAAAATAATAGAGGACAAGAGTATAGAGAACCACACATAATGGACGATTTAGTTGTCCCCAAAAATTATTGGGACGATTTTTGTCGTCCCCAAACCTCCTTTTTTATAGTGTGGATTTCCTGGGTCAATTGAAATCTCTAAAACCCAGAAACCCTTTGAACACAAAGAGGGTATTTAGAAATGCATAGAGCATGTGAGTTTGACTAATTTTGAGACTACTTGCAAACAAAACATTATTAATTAATTAATATATTCAAGTCTAACAAGGAAGTTACTATTTATTAGTGGCTCACACACTCCTCCAAGTGCAAGTGGGGAACTTTCAAGCCCTTCTTTTAACCCACTCTCCACTCTCCATCCTACAATCTTTGTGTTTAGTTATTGTTCGCTAGGTTTTCGTCTAAGGCTTTTTGCACAAATCATGGCTTTTGTGTTTTGTCATTGTTCGCTAGGTTTTCGTCTATGACTTTTTGCATAAATCATGGCAATCCTTCTTTTACCCCACTCTCCATCCTATAACCTTTGTGTTTAGTTATTGTTCGCTAGATTTTCGTCTAGGACTTTTTCCAAGAATCATCGCCTTTGTGTTTTGTTATTGTTCGCTAGGTTTTCATCTACGACTTTTTGCACAAATCATCATAACCCTACTTTTACCCCACTCTCCATCCTACAACATTTGGGTTTAGTTACTGTTCGCTAGGTTTTCGTCAATGGCTTTTGGCACAAATCATCGCCTATGTGTTTTGTTATTGTTTGCTAGGTTTTCGTCTATTACTTTTTGCGCAAATCGATGTAGCCCTTCTTTTACCCCCCCCCCCCCCCCTCCATCCTACAACCTTTGTGTTTAGTTATTATTCGCTAGGTTTTCGTCTATGACTTTTTGCACAAATCATCGTAGCCCTTCTTTTACCCCACTCTCCATCCTACAACCTTTGTGTTTAGTTAATGTTCGCTAGGTTTTCGTCTATGGCTTTTCGCAAAAATCATAGCCTTTGTGTTTTGTCATTGTTCGCAAGGGTTTCGTCTATGACTTTTTGCATAAATCATCGCAGCCCTTCTTTTACCCCACTCTCCATCCTATAACCTTTGTGTTTACTTATTGTTCGCTAGGTTTTCGTCTGAGACTTTTTCCAACAATTATCGCCTTTGTGTTTTGTTATTGTTCGCTAGGTTTTCGTCTATGACTTTTTGAACAAATCATTGCAGCCCTTCTTTTACCCCACTCACCATCCTACAACCTTTGGGTTTAGTTATTGTTCGCTAGGTTTTTGTCTATGGTTTTTTGCACAAATCATCGCCCATGTGTTTTGTTATTGTTTGCTAGGTTTTCGTCTATTACTTTTTGCGCAAATCATCGCAGTCCTTCTTTTACCCCACTCTCCATCCTACAACCTCTGTGTTTAGTTATTATTCCCTAGGTTTTTGTCTATGGCTTTTTCCACAAATCATTGCCTTTGTGTTTTGTTATTGTTCGCTAGGTTTTCGTCTATGACTTTTTGCACAATTCATTGCAGCCCTTCTTTTACCCAACTGTCCACTCTCCATCCTACAACCTTTGTGTTTAGTTATTGTTTGCTAAGTTTTCGTTTATGGTTTTTTTCACAAATCATCGTCTTTGTGTTTTGTTATTGTTCGCTAGGTTTTCGTCTATGACTTTTTTGCACAAATCATCGCAATCCTTCTTTTACCCCTCTCTCTATCTAACATCCTTTGTGTTTAGTTATTGTTTGCTAGGTTTTCGTCTATAGCTTTTTGCACAAATCATCGCCTTTGCCCACTATTTTGCTGCTCATCTCGAAATAATATCGGCGGAATCTTAAATTATTCCCATCCACGGTTTCGCTAGACCGCTACCACAAGTTTTGTATCAGGATCAAGTTGCATCCTCTTTAGTGTTTTTTTCTTCCTCTTTTCCTTTTGTTTAGCATGATCACAATTGAACTCAATACCGCTACCGAAAATCCATATCCTATCTACTTTATGTGGGAAAGTTTTGTTTCAGGACCTTTGTTGGGGTCAAGAGTCCATCCTATAACCTTTGTGTTTAGTTATTGTGCGCTAGGTTTTCGTCTAAGACTTTTTCCAAGCATCATCGCATTTGTGTTTTGATATTGTTCGCTAGGTTTTCGTCTATGACTTTTTGCACAAATCATCGCCTATGTGTTTTGTTATTGTTTGCTAGGTTTTCGTCCATTACTTTTTGCGGAAATCATCACACTCCTTCTTTTACCCCACTCTCCATCCTACAACCTTTGTGTTTAGTTATTATTCTCTAGGTTTTTGTATTTGGCTTTTTGCATAAATCATTGCCTTTGTGTTTTGTTATTGTTCGCTAGGTTTTCGTCTATGACTTTTTGCACAAATACTCACACCACTTCTTTCACCCAACTCTCCACTCTCCATCCTACAACCTTTGTGTTTAGTTATTGTTTGCTAAGTTTTCGTTTATGGTTTTTTTTTTCACAAATCATCGTCTTTGTGTTTTGTTATTGTTCGCTAGGTTTTCGTCTATGACTTTTTTGCACAAATCATCGCAACCCTTCTTTTACGCCACTCTCTATCTAACATCCTTTGTGTTTAGTTATTGTTCGCTAGGTTTTCGTCTATGTCTTTTTGCACAAATCATCGCCTTTGCCCACCATTTTGTTGCTCATCTCAAATAAATGTCGACGGAATCTTAAATTATTCCCATCCACCGTCTCCCAAGACCGCTACCACAAGTTTTGTATAGGGATCAAGTTGCATCCTCTTTAGTGTTTTTTCTTTCTCTTTTCCTTTTTGTTGAGCATGATCACAATTGAACTCAATACCACTACCGAAAATCCATATCATATCTACTCTATGTGGGCAAGAGTCCATCCTATAACCTTTGTGTTTAGTTATTGTTCGCTAGGTTTTCGTCTAAGACTTTTTCGAAGAATCATTGCCTTTGTGTTTTGTTATTGTTCGCTAGGTTTTCATCTACGACTTTTTGCACAAATCATCATACCCCTACTTTTACCCCACTCTCCATCCTACAACATTTGGGTTTAGTTACTGTTCGCTAGGTTTTCGTCAATGGCTTTTGGCACAAATCATCGCCTATGTGTTTTGTTATTGTTTGCTAGGTTTTCGTCTATTAATTTTTGCGCAAATCATCATAGCCCTTCTTTTACCCCCCTCTCCATCATACAACCTTTGTGTTTAGTTATTATTCCCTAGGTTTTCGTCTATGACTTTTTGCACTAATCATCGTAGCGCTTCTTTTACCCTACTCTCCATCCTACAACCTATGTATTTAGTTATTGTTTGCTAGGTTTTCGTCTATGGCTTTTTCCACAAATCATAGTCTTTGTGTTTTGTCAATGTTCGCAATGTTTTCGTCTATGACTTTTTGCACAAATCATCACAGCCCTTCTTTTACCCCACTCTCCATCCTATAACCTTTGTGTTTACTTATTGTTCGCTAGGTTTTCGTCTAAGATTATTTGCAACAATTATCGCCTTTGTGTTTTGTTATTGTTCTCTAGGTTTTCGTCTATAACTTTTTGAACAAATCATCGCA